ATGAAAGACACACACTGATACTGCAACACTAACAAATGATTATTTGCTTTATACATAAGTCCACCCGGTCTGCCTACCTTTGGGAGAGCTGGAGTGGATTATTTCCCTGGTGTCCTTTGGGGCTGTATCATCTTTCTGCTCTTTTTGCTCTGCTCCTTCGCGCGCTGTTTAGTGATGCTGGGGCTAGAATCACGTCATATTCTGGCTCCAGGCATCACAGCATGCACGAAGGGAGCAGAGCAAGAAGATTATAGTTTCCACACCACCTCTGCTCTACTCAGCTGGCCATCTGCCTCTGCTTTTCCTCAGCCGGTCACCTGCCTCAGCCCTCCCCCACCCAGTCTTTTCCATAGACCTCAATCACCCATGCGCGAGAGTACAGCAGTGACGTTGGTTCCTAGCAGAAGAGGACTGTCTGGATCAAGATGGATGCACAAGTTCAAGTATTCTACCCAGTGCTCTCCTTATTAGGGTATAACTATGCTTATGTTTAATATAATGGAATAAACTACATTTTTGCATTTGTACATAAGGTTTGAGATAACATTCATTTTGTATGGAGTTCAGCCTCAAGGATTTGGGGGTTTCTAACTTTCTACCAGGAGAACGACTTGCACTTATCTACCAGCAAGGAGTATGACCAATGGCATGGTAACATTAAATCCTACCTGTTAATTTATTATGTAATCCTGTGACTAGTATTTCAGTATGAATAAAAAAAAGTAAAGTAAATATCCCCTTTACCTGCCCCCCTCCAGTCACCCAGCGGTGATGTCACTGTTGGGGGTCATTGGAAATTCAGGAAAGTCCCCAAACTGTGACAGTGCTTCTTTAAATTGTACCCTCTTGCTCTAGTAAAGAGTAAATAGAATTCTAAGTTAAAGGGCGATAGTGTAATTTTGCTCTCCCCGGGAAAGAGCCAGTTAATTGGCGAAATGCGCATTTGGACGTTTCTGTGTTGGTGCATTATAGATATGGGATGATTTTGAAGCATTATATATACTGACTTAAGAGACAGGCTCCATTCACTAATATCAAGATCTGCTGTTATCTCGTTCTTTGTTTTTATCTTTTATATTTAGCCTTATATTGGTATCTCTTGGCAAGGGGTGGGGTATGGTATATATATACTTTTCACACCGCTTTTCTCCTCTATACTTAGACTTAGCTTTACGTGTATAGAGCTGGTGGGAGGTAGATATACTTTAAGGGGTGCCCTCGAAGGCACGATAGTATAGCTTACTCAGAGCATACTTTAGATTAACCCCTGCGAGGTGGAATCAGTATTAACCTTTAGGGCTACCTTACCTTTTTTCTATTTACCTTTTATACTTCCATATATACATTTACCCCGTGCAGTAATTACTCACTGGGGTGTGCCTTGAGGATTTATGTACACATTCCTTAGGGGGTTAATAATGGTACAATGTATACTGGATATTGATACACATCTATTAGATACTTTGTTATTTCACATACTAGTATGAGTAAATAGATTTGTATCCAATTTATATGACCACTATAGCTTATATTTGAATATATCTTGGCTATACTCCATCTAATACTATGGATTTTTATAATCATCACTTTTTTAATGATCTAATTAAAAGTTATGTTTTAACTATTATTATTTTTGGGTTGCTCCTTCTTTCATAGGGATTTTTCTATGCCCTTTTGTCCCTATTCTTGTCCTTTCTTGTTCGAAACTCTTGCTCTAGTATTTTCCTTTTGAAATTTCTTCTATACTTAATGTTATCTGATCTCATAGATTACACATAGATTTATGTATTATCTTTATCTTAAAGGGTGTATAAATATCAGACCCCAAACAATTAACTAACTTCAATTTCCAAGAACCAGTGTCAGCACTGTGTTTTTGGCTGGTATTCAAGGAGATGTAGTTTGCTAAAGGTTTGAATACTACTGCCCAAACATGGTCCTTGCCTTGTATGTTTTCCTGCTTTTGTGATTGCACACTTATTCAAGAGTTGTAGAAAAATTACAATACAGGCACAAACATTAGGCTAAAATAGCTGAACTAGAAAAGTAGCTGAGATTGAGATTTTTTTTTCCCACTTTCTGCTATTTTTGCCTAAAATATGCAGTTCCCTTATGAATTCTCCACAAACCTCAGTAAACCCAAAAAGACAATGTAGAGCACTTATTCCGCAATACAAACACATTTGTTTTATGGGTTCACAGTCTGCCCAATTCAAATAGGAAAAAGAAATGGAACAAGATAAAAAGTTAGTCTAGCACAGAAGTGATTCTGAAAATGAAAACAGATTAGTCATGTGCTGCAGTTTTTAGTCTAGTCTTTGCTGCCCAGTATTAGAGGGGATGCACGTGCTTAACTTAAGTAACAACAATTATTTTTTATAAACTATGTTAGATTAGAAATTTAAAAGTTCTCTGGCTGGAATCATAAAAAAAACTATATTTAGATTGATTATATAATGACATTATGTGAGACCAGGCAGTTTTGCCCATATGCTTGCTTCAATTTCAAAATATAATAGTTTAACAAGTGATTTTTCAAAGATTCTATTTTTTCTATTAACAGTCAAAATTAGTTATTAACGTTTTGAAAAGCACTCCTAAACTACACAACACAGCAAGCCAGCACAGAGGTTTTATGTACATATCATTCTCAAGAGACACACATGATCTGCATTAACAAAAAATTTAATGTTTAAAAATGGCATTACTTACTACATGAAACGAAACCGTTTGCTATTAATTTAAGGTATAATCATGCTTACACCTGATAAAAACATTAAAATATTTATGTATATTATATAATAAAGGTTTTATCATGTAAAAAAAAAAAAATGAAAATTTCCACTTGGTTATGTAAAGATGTTTGTTGAAGACACACAGTCTACTAATTGTATTGATTTAATCTACACAAGCTAAAAACCGAGTTGTGGTTTAAAGTGTTGCAATATATGCATGCTTAACCCAGGGAAAATGTGATGTAAGTGATAGTACTAGTTCACTTTTTTGAAGCTTGTTTTATATAAATAGAATGTAAAGCATAAAATTGTTTTTTTTTATAAACACATATACTTTTGTTTTTCTTTTGAAAATATTAGTATATTAGTATTACCATATTTTCTTAACTATTCATATATATATATATATATATATATATATATATATATATATGTTTTAATAAGTATTTGTAATGTAACATGCATATAATTAAAAGTTCATATTAAAATTAAACTGAAAGATTTTCAAGTTACTTAAGGTTACTTTAATTATTTCAAGTCATTATTATATATTGTCAAGATGGAGATTTGTGAACTCATCTTTTCAGCACCTGCCCACATCCTTCCTGTTCAAAAAAGAGGGAGATAAACCAAAGATGTAAACGAATTAAATTAGTTTGTTCAACATACCAACTCCGTATCTCTCCTTGCCAGTTTTCTGCCAGGGAGCCATAGAGAATGAGACTGATGTGGAACACTCGAACGAAAGATAACGTTCTATTAACAAGAAGTCCACAAACTGGAAGGAGTTGGTTTCTGCTTTATCTTGCTGTAGGTAGCAGATTCGTCTGGTCCCTCCCAGTGACACTCCTACTGAGAACTTCCTATTTGCGCTTTTCTGTAATGCTTCGTTACTGAGCTTCCTCTTCTACGATCAAAAAGCTGTGACTGTCTCTCAGCTCAGATAAACATGCCCAGTTTTCAATGCTCATGTCATTTTAAAGAGATACTCATTTGGAGTAAATATCAAGAGGATGTGAAATTTTTTTTAGCCATGTTTAATATAGTTTGTTTCTTTACAGCTGAGAAAATCTATATATTTTAGTTTACCTACAATCTACAATTAATGCTCAGCTGCAAAACCTCTTGAGGCAAAGTTTTATTTCATATTTCATTAAACCACATTTGTTAAGGTAAAACAGGTGCTATTCTAGGAGGGGATTCTAAATGTTGCGCTTATCGAACAATTTGCCTCAGAATAAAACCTATTTTTACCTTGATAAACATGGGTCACACTTTTGATTGACTTTAGTTCTTATATCATATATGTATCTTTCTTTATTGAATCTATGTTTTAAAAGTGAAACCGTGGAAATCATAAAAGCTAATACACAAATCAATTTACAAGCTGGGCTTTCATACCAAATATTTTATATAAAATTCCAAATCAGACACAAAACTCAGAAAATTCTATCCAGTGCTCTCCTTGTTAGGGTAAAACTATGCTTCTTTTTAATATAATGGAATAAACTAAATTTTTTGTGAGATAACATTCATCTTGTATGGAGTTCAGCCTCAAGGATTTGGTGTTTTCTAACTTTCTACCAGGAGAAAGACTTGTTACGAGCAAGAAATATGACCAATGGCATAGTAACATTAAATCCTACCTGTTAATTTATTATGTAATCCTGTGACTAGTATTTCAGTATGAATAAAAAAAAAAAACACTAAGTGTAATGCATACATGACAACTGTCCACAATCTGGCAAGGCATTTATAATCCTGAGCTTGTTCTTCCACCTTGGGTTTGAAGTGTATTGACCCATTTAAAAAAAAAAGAAAAAGAAATTTAAAGTTGGAATATTCAGTCATGACAGAACAATTGACCATAAAGTACAGAAAGGTAGTTTGTGAGCGATAAATACATTTAGACATAATGCTTAACAAGTACATTTAACTTAGTACAACAACCTGATGGAAAGTGAGATGTTGATATCAGCGGAGGAACGGATAATGTTGCATACGTGGTGTCTAACATATGATAACCATCAATGCGTCTTGACATAGAGAGGTGGAAACAAAAAAGAACATACTCATCAAATCATAAATAAAATCTCAAATAAAATGTTCTGATGCTAAATGCATGGTCTGCTTGCTACATGTGCGAATTTATTTGTGTTAAAATCGTATATCTCGTGAGACATGTGGAGAATAGTGATGTCCCGAACGGTTCGCTGAACGGTTCGCCGCGGACGGCTAACATATGACCCTGTACCTCACAGTCAGCAGACACATTCCAGCCAATCAGCAGCAGACCCTCCCTCCCAGACCCTCCCACCTCCTGGACAGCTCACTAAGAATGCAGCTTCAAAATGGATGCTGTCCAGGAGGTGGAAGGGTCTGGAGGGAGGGTCTGCTGCCGATTGGCTGGAATGTGTCTGCTGACTGTGAGGTACAGGGTCATATGTTCGTCGTCCGTGGCGAACCATTCGGCGAACCGTTCGGCGAACCGTTCAGGACATCACTAGTGGAGAACTTTTGTGTATATATATATATATATATATATATATATCTAAAGGCATGAGAGACATTCCTATGCTTGGTTGGGCTCCTGTGTGCATAGTCTTTGGTAGAAATATGAGTGTGGCAAACCTAGCCACTTAAGACTATATTCCATTAGACATTTGTGTATTGGTATCGCTTTAAACAATGTAAATGGTCGAAATTCTTGCTGTACATGTTATGGGAATAAAGCATTCATATGCTAGCGGCATGAAAAGCCGCCAGCATCTAACTGGGAGTTTCACAATGGGGTTGTGTGTCTCCCATTAACTAAGTTGCAACATTGTATCAACCACTGTTAATGGGTTTTCGTGGGTGGCCGCCGTTCCTATGCCGAACACGTGGCGGTGGTCATCAAAATCGGCTACTTGATTTCCAAACACCGCTGGACTTCCAGACCATTCGGGCAACTCGCTCTTTCAGTAAAACAAAGCTTTTCGTCTGTTCTTTTGTTTAAACCCCGGTTCACCTAAAAGTGTACTGCATGTGGCATTCGGTTATTTCTGCAGGTATCTGAGCACTATTTCGTAAGAAATGTTTTCCTGGCATTGGAGAATCACTTTAAATGTCAGCTGCCACAACATTTTTCTAGTTTACCTAAATCATTTGCCATTTGGCTTTTCCCTCCTGGAACATCAACCCTGTGACATATCTTAGTATCATGAGCAAAACGACATAGATTGCCATCAAGACCTTCTGCAATATCACTAATAAAAATATTAAAGAGAATCGGTCCAAGTACAGATCCCTGAGGTACCCCACTGGTGAAAAGACCATGCTTCGCATATACTCCATTAACCCTGCCCCCCCATACTGTCACCTTCCTACACACTGCCCCCCACACTGTCAACTTCCTACACACTGCCCCCCTATACAGTCACCTTTCTACAGTCTGTACCCCCTTCCAGCCCAAAGGTAAGAGGCAGGGAGGAGGGGATAAGCTCAATTTTATTTAAACAGCTCACCCCCGGCACTTATCCAACACTACATCCACTACACTACACAGTTGCTCTCACATTAAGTAAGAACTGATGGTAAATTTTCAGATAGTTTAGAGTGAGTTTATAATTCTTGATAAGTTTTCTCCTGAATCAAAGCGGCACTGTCACGCCGAACTTACCTTTCCCCAATCGATTACTCTTCTCTCCCTCTGTCAGGATCTGTTCTTCATTTCTTCCTGTCTGCTCTAGTTTTCTTTAAAACATAAAACAAAGTAGGGACTATTTTGTCTTATGGAGGTTTCCTACGCCTGACCATCTCTGACCAGCGGAGGTGCAAAGTGTACTCTGTTTCTGGTGGTCAGAGAAATTTTCCCAGAATTCTTACCTTTCCTCCATGATCTTGTGATGCTTCCTGTCACTATTCCTGAACATCCTGTCACTTAGACGAAACGCCGGCGAAACTACCAAATTTCGTCCTAACAGACTGAGAACAGTTTCTCCATTCGTGTTAGGACGCAATTCGGGACTTTGTTCAGATCGGAATTTCATTCGAATGTGTGTATCTTTGTGTCTGTGTCCTTTTGTATCAATGCACGTTATAAAGCCTTCCCACACCCTGCATTTTGACTTAGAGCACTCTGATTTAAGCCAACCTATCAGAGTGCTCTGACAGGTAAATGAAGAGACTGACAGGTAAATCTCTACATTTACCTGTCATAGCACTCAGGTTGGCTTTGAATCCAACCAATCAGAGTGCTCTGTGTCATTTTACGCAGCGTGGGAAAGTTCTTTGGAATTTTTCCATGCTGTGTAATTTGACTCATAACAACATTCTGATTGATTGCTTTCAAATCAATCAACCAATAAGCGTGCTCTAGGTCAAATTGCAGGGCCTGGGAAGGTTTTTTTTTCATCGTATTTTTTTTAACAATTGCGACGGGTATTATGGATTTTTATTTGGCCTTTTTGAGGGCTGAAAAAAGAAGATTTTAGAAAAAAGATTGTGTTTTATTTTTATTTACAGGTATTTAGTTTTCTTGTTCCCCCCTCACTATTTGTAGGGTGAGGGGGGTAGGTAGGGGTTTATTTACATTTTTTGGGGGGGTGACTAGGGGCTTGGGGGTTACATTTAGCCCCCCCACACGTCACCCATGGGTGGGGGTCAGTGGGGAGGACAATAGTTCCCCTCATTGTCATTTAGGGCCCCAACCCGCCACTCATGGGTGGGGGCCGGGGGAGATCTATCCATTCCCTATTTTCATTTAGGGCCCCCATCTGTTGCCCATGGGTAGGAGCCGATGGGGAGGACAATAGGTATGTCCCCCATTGTCATCTAGGGCCCTCACTCGTCACCCATGGGAGGGTGCTGGGGGGAGGACAATAGGTTACCCATAGTCATTTAGGGCCCCCACCCGTTGCCCATTGGAGGGTGCGGAGGAGACAATTGGCCTCCTATAGTCATTTAGGGCCCCCAGTCGCATCCCATGAGTGGGGGTTGAGGGGGGAGGACAATAGGTCCCCCCATTTTCATTTAGGGCCCCCACCCGATGCTCATGGGTGGGGGCCAAAGGGGACCCTATGTCCCCCATTTAGTTACATCGCCCCCACTCGCGGGGCAAGGGTGAGTGCTCGGGGGGGGGCTTTTTTGTTTTTTTACAACAGTGAGGGAGATTTTAATTTCCCTTATGCTATTATCGGGGTCATTTTGAAGAAGGACATAGGGGGCTTAGGTAGTGACGGGGAGCACTGCTCCCTGTCGCTTCTATTTTCTCTCCCTGTCGCCTCCTTCTAATAAACCAAACGAACGAACAAAGAGGTCTTCGTTCATTCATTTGAAATTTCTATTTATTCTTCTTTCTGATGAATGAATGAATAGATGAAATTCCTGTTTGCATGCCCAAGTGTTTAACTGGGATGCGTGGGAATTTCACAGGGCTATATCTAGTGTGGGCAGATGACATGTCCCACAGTGACTTCATCTACCCACACAAAGATGGTGGTGCCCAGGACCGCAATAAAGATGCAAAAATAGGTAATATGGGGGATTAGGGGAATTTCAGGGTTTACATTGCAGCTCTACCAGACACAGACACTGCACAGACACTGCATCCACTAGACACACTGCATCCACCACAAAACACTAGATACACTATACACACTGCATTCACTACACAAACACAGACACTGTATTCACTATACACATACACACACATACACACACACAATGTATTCAATACACATTGCATCCATGACATGAAAAAAGGGGGGGGGGAAGACATGAAAGGAAAGGGATAGGAACAGAGACAGAAATGGAAGAGGGGAAGAAAATACATGGATTCTTCAATCCATGGGGTAGATGCAAGCTGAACGGACAGTGCGGCTACATGATCTAATGTGTTACACATTACCTACCTGGCTGAGACTGCAGTTTGCAGAGGGATTAAGGGTGTGTGTGTGAGTATGTTTGTTTGTATGTATGTGTGTGTGTGTATGTGTATACATACATATATACATACATACACACACACACACAAACAAACACACACACACACGTTTTATAACTGCCCCCTCTACTTTTGTCCCAACGTTTTATAACTGCCCCCCCTAAATATGAATCCTAGAGACTCCACCGGGTGGGCCACTGATACATATCACTTCACCAGAACTGCCCAAAGGGTCGAGCATGTCCAAAAAAGCTAATTTCCAATAATTGTTTCCTCATTTTTTAACAAACTAATTTAAATCTATTCGCTCACCGTGACCTAAGAATGACATGAGGAACACACTACCACACATAAGTAAGTTCGTTAAAGCACTTTAACTCTTCACAGACTAGAAACTAATGGTCCATTTACATCAGGATATTTCAGGCATGTCATTGATCATTAAGTGGTTAACTACTGAAAATAGTAGTACACTAACAGACAAAAGCAAATTGGCACAGGAGTGCTGAAAAATTATTTGGAAATACAATAACTGTGAGATTTGTTTAAACACATAATCTGTTTTCTGGTTTCATCTGGGGTTTTTTTTCCAGCTGAAACCACTATAAGCATATACCAGCGGTTCCCAACCCATAGTACGCATACCCTCAGGGATACAATTCAGTGCCCCAGGGGTACGCGTAAAAAAAACAGTAATGGCAGTGGTGCCACCACACGGACTGGGGACCGCGAGGTGAGCGGGTCCATCGGGTGGCCCATGCATTTAGGGCCACCCGATGGATATGTGCTATGAGGGGCTGTGCGCTGCAATGCTTTAATAGCATGACCGGGCCCCTTCTAACCCGACCGGACTTCCTCCCAGCTGTTACCAAGCTACGCAGGAGGAGGCCGTGAAGGGGATGGGCGGAGAGGATTAGAGCTCAACTCTCAACAGCCTCAGTCACAGAAGCCACCCAAAAGGTATGTGTATGTGTGTTTTGGGTGTCAGTATGTATGTAGTGTTTGTGCAGTGTGTGTGTCAGTGTATCTGTATATCTGTGTGTGTCTCAGTGTTTCTGTATATATGTGTGTGTGTTTCAGTATATCTGTATATCTGTGTGTGTGTGTGTGTCAATGTGTCAGTGTATTTGTATATCTGTGTGTGTGTCAGTGTATTTGAATATGTGTGTGTTTTTGTCAGTATATCTGTGTGTCTCAGTGTACCTGTACATCTGTGTGTGTGTGTGTGTGTGTGTGTGTCAGTGTATTTGTATATATGTGTTTGTGTCCATATATCTGTGTGTGTGTGTTAGTGCATCTGTATTTGTCAATGTGCATTTCTGTATATATGTATGTATGTGCATGGGTGTGTCAATGTGCGTATCTGTATGTCTGTGTGTTAGTGTTTGAATCTTTATGTCTGTGTATCTGTCAGTGTGCATATCTATATGTTTGTGTGTTAGTGTGAGGGTCAGTATGTCAGTCTAGGTATCTGTTTGTCTGTGTGTGTATCTGTATGTCTGTATATCTGTGTGTGTCAGTGTGCATATCTGTATGTTTGTGTATCTGTGTGTTTGTCAGTGTGCGTATATATGTGTGTCAGTGTGCGTATTTGTTTCTCTGTGTATCTGTGTGTCAATGTGCGTATCTGTATGTCTGCGTGTATGTGTCAGTGTGTATCTGTATTTCTGTGTATCTGTCAGTCTATATCTGTATGTCTGTATCTGTCAATGTGCGTATCTGTATGTGTTTCTCAGTGTGCATATCTGTATGTCTGTGTATCAGTGTGTATCTGTATGTCTGTGTATTGTGAGTGTGTGTCATTGTGTGTATCTGTATTTCTGTGTGCCAGTGTGCATAATTGTATGTCTGTGTATCTGTGTGTGGGTCAGTGTGTGTATCTGTATGTCTGTATCTGTGTGTGAGTGTATCTATGTATGTCTGTGTATCTCTGTGTTTCAGTATGTATCTGTATGTCTGTATGTCTGTGTATCTCTGTGTTTCAGTATGTATCTGTATGTCTGTGTGTCTGTGTCAGTGTGTGCATCTGTATTAGACATGTGCATTTTGTTTCGTTCCGAATGGCAATTTGAACTAATTTCGGGCAATTCAGACTTTCGGATACATCCGAATAGCTGAATTGCCGAAGTTCTGAAACACAGTATTGCCTAAGTACTGATATACCTACCCAGTGGAAGAATGAAGACTGTTACACTGTATACAAGTTTAAATAAAAAGTATACAAACATAGCCAGGATTCAGCTGTAAGCATTTGCAACACTTACAACAATCAAGTAACACACATTCATATAAAATGTAAATTACTTAGCCTGTCAATGGAATGACAGGAATGAATAAGTAGATAACTCCCTAATTTCCACGGTATTAAGGAGCTATCTACTAAAAGGCTGAAAGACCTAAATTGGTCTTTCAGCCAAATGTACTAATACTAAGTAAAAATTACTTAGTATTAGTAAATTATGCCCCTACTCGCTATACCGCGAGTAGTGGCATGTCTATTAAACAGCGAGCAGCCTGTGGCTGCTCACTGTTAAAAACAAAAAAACATTTCCCCCCCACCTGAGCGGCGGGTGGGGGCCCTAAAGTAAACTAATGGGGGGGGACCTATTGTCCATAGGGGGCCCTAAATATCAATAAGGGGGGGACCTATTGTCCTCTCCCCTGGCCCCCACCCCTGAGCGGTGGGTGGGGGCCCTAAATAAAAATTTAAACCCCCCCCCAGGTGACTAGGGGTCCCAAACACCTAGTCACCCCCTCCCAAAAAAATAACCCCTACCTACCCCCCTCACCCTAAAAATAAGGAGGGAGGACCATAAACTAGATACCTGTAAAAAAAAAAAAATTACCATTTGATGTGTTCTTTCTTCTAAAATCTTCTTTTTTCAGCCCCCAAAAATATAATCCTCCTTCACCCATGTAAGGCTCCACACAAACTGAGCTCTGCAAGGCGGGGGAAGGCTTATAAATCTTTGCCCCGCCTCCAATTAGGCTCAGAGCACTCTGGTTGGTGGGTTTGAGGCTGACAGGTAAGTCTCTACATTTACCTGTCACAGCACTCTGATTGGTTAGCTTGAAATCCAGCCAATCAGAGTGCTCTGTGTCATTTTACACAGCATGGGAACGTTCTTTGGAATTTTCCCACGCTGTGTAATTTGACTCATAACTCTCTGATTGGTTACTTTCAATCCACCAATCAGAGTGTTGTTATGAGTCGAATTACACAGTGTGGGAAAATTGCAAAGAACCAGGGGGAGGACAATAGGTCCCCTCCCCTTATTGATATTTAGGGCCCTAACCCGCCGCTCAGGAGTGGGGGCTGGGGGGGAGGACAATAGGTCCCCCCCTTATTGATATTTAGGGCCCCCTAGGGACAATAGGTTCCCCCCCATTAGTTTACTTTAGGGCCCCCACCCACCGCTCAGGTGGGGGGGGAAATGTTTTTTGTTTTTAACAGTGAGCAGCCAGAGGCTGCTAACTGTTTAATAGACATGCCCCTACTCGCAGTATAGCAAGTAGGGGCAAAATTTACAAATACTAACTAATTTTTACTTAGTATTAGTAAATGTGGTTGAAAGACCAATTTAGGTCTTTCAGCCTTTTGGTAGATAACTCCCTAATACCGTGGGAATTAGGGAGTTATCTACTAAGCGGCTGCAAGATAAGTCCCGAAGTGCCGAACCGAATCGAAGTGTCGAAGTTCCGAATTGCCAAAGTCACGAATTTCGGAATGCCGAACCGACACACTATGTCCCCAGCACACACGCAGACACTATGTCCCTAGCACACACAGACACACTATGTCCCTAGCGTACACATGACATCCCTAGCACACACACACCACATCCTTAGCACATACACACGCAGACATGCTACATCCCAAGCACAGACATACACTACATCTCCCATCACACCCACATACCCACATACACAATACATCACTAGCACACAAACTACATCCCCAGCACACACACACTACTTCTCCAGCACACACACAGAGACACATTAAATCTCCAGCACACACACAGACACAGTACATCTCCAGCACACACACCACTACTTCTCCAGACTAATTGCATACATTCCACATGACAATTTAACTTACTCCTTTTTGGTTTGTTGTTGTTAGTGATTGACGTATATTGTACTTAGCTAATATTTATTACCACTGCAGAAGCATATATGTTGTGACGTTTAATTTAGTGTGCAATTATCTAAATATGTTACTGGAATGTATTTATCTAATCATGATATATTTCATTTTAGTTTATCATAATACAACATAATGAATATGGGTGTGTTTTGGTGGCGTTGTTTTGGGGGACCCAGGCATAAAAATGTCTTGGGACGTCCCTGGTATCTGTGTATGTCATTTGATCTGTATGCATATGAGTGTGTGTATCTATGTGTCTGTATCACTATGTGTGTGTCAGTGTGTGTATCTGTATGTATGTTTATCTGTGTGTGTGTATATCTGTGTATTTGTGTGTGTGTCCATTTATCTTCATGTGTGTCAGTATATGTCTGTGTATCTACATGTGTATCTGTGTCTGTATCTGTATGTGTGTCTATGATTGTATCTGTGTGTCTATGTATCTGCATATGTGGCAGTGTGTGTGTCTGTACATCTGTATGTGTGTCAGTGTTTATATCTGTATGTTTATCTGCATGTTTGTATCTGTATGTATATGTGGCAGTGTTTGTATCTGTGTATCTGCATGTGTGGCAGTGTGTTTATCAGCATGTCTGTTCCATTGTATGTATATTAGTGTTGCCATTTGTTTGTCTGCATGTATGGCAGTGTTTGTACCTGTGTGTCTTTACATTTGTATATGTGTTAGTGAGTGTATTCATTCATTCATGCTTGGACTCTTTGAATTCAGCTAGTTCGTGAGTCAATTTTAATGAAAGAGTGCTCTGTTCGGATGAATTTAGCCGAACGCACGGAGGATGGAAGTTTCAGCAGTGTTCGTGGAAAAGTCTAGCCAAACACTGCTGAGTGCGTTCGACTATCCAAAATGGCTGCTGCCACGTGTTCGTGCAAACGAACGCCGACCACCCTGTATATCAATTAAACCCATGGAGTGTTCGCGGTTTTCA